CTTGTGATCTTAGTGGGTCCACCCAGACCACATTCTCCCCATGTCAAGGTCCTTCAGTTAGTCATGTCTGCAAAGTCTCTGTCACCGCATCAGAGAACACGTTCCCAAGTTGAGGATTAGGAAGCGGACATCATGAGAAAGCTGGTGGGGGGCATTATTCAGCGGGCCACACTCTGGTCCTTCTCCAGGTCCCCTCCCTCCTCCCTTCCTGCCTTGGGGCCCCCCGCCCCACTCCCCATCCACATCACTCATTCATTCAACAAGTGTTTCCTGAGCACCTACTATGTACCAGGCCCTGGGCTGGGTGCCGAGGACACTGCAGGAAGCAGAGCTGGTCCCTCTGCTCATGAGTTTATAGCCCAGAGTGACAGACTAACCTAAATCTGCTAGTGACAAGTACTGTTCCGGACTGCTAAGGTACCCATGAGTGGAAGTTCTGGGAATCCTGGATTTCCGAAATGGGAGAGACTTGCCTGGTGTAGTCAGGGAGGGTTTCCTGGAGACAGCAGCTTTTGGCAAAACATCAGTCGTTTTAGGCAAAGGAGACCCAAGCTACTTGTCTCACGCTGAGATAAGTTGTTGGTTTCATCCTCCCTGTGGGCACCTAAAACCCTCCCCCCACCACACGTGACTTAGCCTATCTCATCCCTGAGGTCTCTGCTCCCTGTCCCTCCTCCCAGACCTTCCCCTCCACCACCTTCCCTACCCCCTACCCGCAGCCTCTTCTGAGGGGCCTCCCTCCCTGCTCTGTGCACCCTGGTGGTCATTCAATGCTTGTTTATTGTCAGTCCCTCCCCCTCCTCCATGGAGTATCGTGTTCCTGAGGCAGGGATCGTATCCCATTCACTGCGATATTCCCAGTGCCCAAAGGAGTCCCTGGCCCAGCGGAGGATATGGATGGGCAGATCCCCATCTGTCCAAACCCACACTCACCCCCCATCCCGTGTCCCTCCTCTCTTCCAAACGCCGCCACCTCCTTCCTCCTTCTCTTCCTAGCTGCCTTCCCCGAGTGGCGGTCACCTTTGAGACTTCATTGTTTAGAAATGTTTTAGATTTGCAGAAAAATTCAGCTCAGGATTCCCATCTACCCCTCACCCAGGATCCTCTCCTGGTTTTAATGCCTCGGCTTACTTAGGTGCATCGGTCACAACTAAGGAACCTATATTGAGGCCTTCTCGTTACCTTGAGTCCGTCCACTTTCAGATTGCCATAGATTTCCCTAAAGTCCTTTTTCTGCTCCAGGATCCCACGTGCCATTTAGTGGTCATGTCTCCGAGGTTCTTGTTGGCTGTGACAGTTTCTGACTTTCCTTGTTTTTGACCTTGATCTTGAGAGTTTCGGTTTTGTTTTTGTTTTGAGCAGAGTCTCTCTATGTCACCCAGGCTAGAGTTCTGTGGGCGATCTCGGCTCACTACAGCCTCTGCCTCCCGGGTTCAAGAGATTCTCTTGCCTCAGCCTCCCGAGTAGCTGGGATTACAGGCGCCCGCCACCATGCCCAGCTAATTTTTGTATTTGTAGTAGAGACGGGGTTTCACTGTGTTGGCCAGGCTGGTCTCGAACTCCTGACTTCAAGTGATCTGCCTGCCTCGGCCTCCCAAAGTGCTGGGATTACAGGCGTGAGCCACCATGCCCGGCTGTCCTTGACAGTTTTGAGGAGCCTCAGCCAGGTATTTTCCAGAATATTCTCTGAGCCTCCTTCAAAGATTTTCCCCAGCATCACTCAGTGACTTCGTATGCTTCATTGTCCAGAGCTGGAGCCACAGGAGCCACAGGGAGGCAGGAATGTGGCTGTGCGGCAGGAGGCCTCGCCTCCCCGATGCTGTGGGGTCCATTAGGAAAGGAGCGGGGAGACGGGCATTACCTGGGCGAGTGGCGGCCCCTGTCATTCTTGGGGACTGAGATCCTATGGCAGTGCACATATTTTTAAAAGATGATTACTAAATGTAAACAGTTTTAAATTACAGAGAAGTCACAGGTCCCTGTTTGAGAATCACGGATCTAGCTATGGTTCTTTGGTGGTTTGTGGAAGAAGGCTTCTCTCTAGCTTGGTTAACATGCTTACATGACCAGGTCCCGAGGGACAGGCCCACCCAGCCCCCCTCTATGAACTCAGAGGTGTCTGGGACAGTTCTGGTCCTGGGAGCCTCTCCTTGGGAGTGATATGTGGTAAGTCTGAGGTCTAGTTGCGGTTTTGCAAGATGGTTAAGATTATAGTTTCTGGAACCAGAGCTTTGGTTCAAGTCTCTATTCTGCCACTAACTGGCTGTGGAAACTTGAACAAATTAATTCTTCCATGCTTCAGTTTCCCCACATGCAAAGTGGGGAAGATAATAGCGTCTTCCATTGGGGGTGGTGAGGTCTGAGGGTTAAGCCTTGTGGGGAGCTGCGCGCAGGGCCTGGTGCGTAGTCAGTGTTCTACAAATATCACTACCTCGCTTCCCCTTGCCAGGGTGTGTGGGTGTCTCTGCATACCTGTCTGTGTTTCTGGTGTTACTGTTGCCTTAGATTCTCAACGAATAACTTGGCTTGATTATTGTGTGGGATTGTGTGGGAACCACACAGGTTGTACAGGCATCTCCAAGGTGAAGAGTGGACTGCGTGTGAGGAGACACACACAGGTGTTTTAAAAGGTATATCCTAAAATAGCCATTGCTTTCATTTTTTTTTTTAATCAAAATTTTGAACAATGTTAAGTGAAGAGATGAGACTTTCATGTTTTTAAGAGAGGTTGCTCATGCAAAGCTTTTCTGATCCTGGAGGCCCCCGAGGCCGTCATTGTGACACTCATTCTGTAGGTTCACTGTGTTCTTGGTTTCATGTCCATGAAGGTGCTGGACCATTTTGTGTTTTTAACATCAATTATTCGGGTTACAGGAGATTCCACAGCCTTTTCCCTTTGCTCTCCTAGGTCACGGACCTCTTGGTGGATGAATCCAGTTTCACTGGGGAAGCCGAGCCATGCAGTAAAACAGATAGCCCCTTGACAGGCGGCGGGGACCTCACCACCCTCAGCAACATCGTCTTCATGGGGACCCTGGTGCAGTATGGGAGGGGCCAGGTAAGCCCTGGGGTTCCGAGGCTTTGGGCTCCCATAACCCACAGGCTCCCAGCCCTTAGATTTCATATTTCTCTCTCTCCTGGACACAGGGGGTCGTGATTGGAACAGGGGAAAGCTCTCAGTTCGGAGAAGTGTTTAAGATGATGCAGGCTGAAGAGGTAAGGGGCAGGAGGGGGCTTCGGGATTTTTGTAAGCTGGAGTTTGAGATTATTATAGGCTAATAATGTCAGCCCTGCCTACTCCTTAGGAATGAGAGGCGTGTAGTTAATATGAGTATACTTTTTAAACATTTAATTTTGTTGGTTTTTTGTTTTTATAGAGACAGGGTTTTGCCATGTTGCCCAGGCTGATCTCAAACTCCTGAGCTCAAGCATTCTGTCTGCCTCAG